TAAGCCATTGCATTTCTGTGTGTAGTAAAATTTTTCATTGGTTTATAAGCTTTCTTTTTTAAAAGGTTTAATTTTTTTTTTTTTTTTTTTGAGATAGGGTTTTTCCATGCAGTTCAGGCTGGCCTTGAGCTCACTTTATAGCCCAGGCTGGCCCTGAACTTCCAGTGATCCTCCTGCCTCAGCCTCCTGAGTGCTGGGATTGCAGGTGTACACCACCACATCTGGCTAAAAGCTTGATTTTTAAAGAATAGTCCTAAGTGTTGTGGATTATACTCACTGTATGTTTAATGTTTTCTGCTATTGTGGCTCTTATCTTTACAAAATTGACCATCAGAAATTAAATAAGCATCATTTTAAAAGAACATAAGTTCCCCCTTTATAGTACTATTATTAATAGAGTTCCTGGGAAAGTTTTTTAGCACTTTTCCTAGTAAATGCGGGGAGAGAAAACCTGTTTTTCCAAGGCAACAAGGAAATGATATCAAGTCAAGGCCTATGGAGGTTGTCAGCTGTAGCTCCTGTTGAGTCTCTCTTGGCTCATTTACAAATAGATGTGTTTAAGCTAGATGCTCTTCTGTGCATTGGTGCTAATTAATCCACCTATATTCTTGGTTCTCATGTGGGCTCTTATGTGCACTATTCAAAGATCCATATCGTATCCTTGTGTTTATGTTATGGTAAGTTATTTTCAAAGGGCAATTCTTGCTTTTAAATCCTGCGCATGGAGAGATAAGGGGGTGGTTTGTGTTGGCAGAGAGAGGTCCCTCCTGCCTCCCTGGGCCCAGAAGCTGTCATTCCTGTGTACGTGTTCTGCTGGAGGGAACTGTACCAGGGTCAATATTTGCATAGGAAAATTCCCCTATCTTGCCCTTACTTGATCAGATAAAAGAAAAACTAAACTCACAAATCCAGATAACTGCTCCCTCCTCCTCTTACACATGCCCCTCGCTATGAGGGAGCATGCAGAGAGAAACTGTGTTCTAATTTATCCCTTGATGTTAATCTGTGTATGAAGGGTCGGAAGACTGTTCCTTTGTAAATGACTCCAACTATGCATTTCATGCATGTGACTTCATGAGGTGATCGTAAATCCTCGGAAGTCCAGGAGAAGTAAGTTTTTGTTTCCAAGTGCCACATGTGAACTGCTGGTAGAATGTATCCTTGGAGTTATGATTTTTTCAGTAGTTCCAAGAAAATAATATCATTTGTATGTTGGAGGAGGACTTTCTCTTTTCTTTGTCATCAGGGTGTGGAGGTCAAAGGACTGTGAGCGTCTAGGCTGTGCAGATTGGGAGAGGCTGCGAGGTACCTTTGCCAAGTCCCTTAACTTGTAGTTCTAATTCTCACTCTGAGAAGTGTAATTCCAGACCAAATATTTTTGAAGTCATTAAACATGTAACAATAAAAGTAGACTGTCCAGGCTAGGGGTGTAGTTCAGTGGTAGAGCTCTTGCTTAGTGGATATAAGGCCCTAGATTCGATCCCCAACACTGCAGAATGAATGAATGAATGAAGCATTGCCGATATGGATAAGCTAGAGAAACAGTACTATTTGTCTTGTTTTGTGTGCTCATTTGTTCTTCCTTTAATTCTATTTCTGTATATTGAAAATTGAGTAAATCTCAAAAGGTAGTCTTAACTCTCAGGCCTGAAACGATTACTTATTGTCCCAGATGTTGTATGTCCTGGTTAAGTAAGGTGAGAAAAAGAAATGCTGATATTCCCGTGTTGGTGAGCTTTCCCATCGCTGGGACATGGACCCCAACACCCACAGCACCGAGAAGGAGAGGTTTAATTGGCTCACAGTGGTAGGCTGGCTCCAGGGCAGGAACATTATGGCACAAGAGTATGGTGGGGAAAAGCTGCTCAGTTCATGGCAGCTGGAAAGCAGAGGAAGCAGAGCAGGGAAACCATGCCAGAGAGGAAGGGACGAGGGACCCTGTGTAGTGCCCACAGTCCCTCCTCCGTGACCCACCCAGACCCACCCAGAAGTGTGCTTTAGTAGCTCCCTGGGTCAGTGATGGCAAACCTTTTAGAGACGGGTGCCCAAACTGCAACCCCAAACCCACTTATTTATTGCAAAGTGCCAACACTTGCAATTAAACCTGAATATTGAGGTTTTGGTTTAGAAAAAGCAACTCATACTTTAACATCTTTTGTCTTAAAAGAAAAACAATGTGCATGCCACAAGTTCATCACTGCCCTCCGTGGCTCCCAAGCCAGTCAAGTTCACAATGAAGCTTAACCGTTAACAAACCCGGAACATTCTTGTTTCAAAACAAAAGCATGAATTTAGTAGGCTATAATGGTCCAAAATATAATTTTTCATTCTTCATTAACATTAAAATTTTAAACAGCAAAAACTCAAATAAAGCACAAATTCAGCGCCAAGGTGTAGTCGGTCTTCACATGAAGCGATCCGCTTTGCTGTATTAATAGCTTACCCTCCTGGGTAGGAGTTCTTGTGTTATTTCCATGGGTTGAATGTAATTCCTTGTTTCTGCAGCCTACTGCACTTTTAAGTGGAGCTCGGGTTGTTATTCTAGATTTTATTTTTCCCTTCATAGCCTTGCCTCTAGTTTTTCAGAAAAAAACATAAGTGTTTTTCTTTATTCTTAAGTTTCCTCCTAAGGGCAACTGTGACAACAGGGGACCCCTTTGAACAAGCATGAATAGAACTTTTTGCTGAAAACAAGAAAAGCTTCTGCTCTCTTGTACTGTTCTTACCTTGCCTGTAGATGTTCAGTTGGTAGGAGTTATCCTACTTATCTGGGGAGTTTAACAGAAAAATTTCCCTCCTCCTTTCATAAGTAGTTACAAAAGAAGCAGCTTATTATTTAAGTGGGTGTAGTCAAGTGGTGCCGTTCTGGTCACTTGAGGATGAATTGTTTGTCCCAGTTAGCTGCTTTATTTGTTGCTGAGACACAATACTTGCGACCCACAACTTCAAGGAGGGAAGGTTTGATTAGCTCACAGTTTGTAGAGGTTTCAGTCCGTAGTCAGCTGGTTCCATGGCAGGGCACCAGGCAGAAGGGCCCGGCAGGGGAGAATTGCTCATTGCATGGCAGAAGCAGAGAGAGAGACACTTTAGCCCATGACCCCAGTGACCCACCTCCTCCAGGCAGGCTTCGCCTTTCCACGTCACATTTAGCTATGACCTCCTCGGTGGACTAATCCGCTGTGTATCACAAACGCACAAGGCATTCACCTCCGCAAGCCCCTCCCATGAGTGCACAGGGCTTTAGGAGGATATCTAGATATAAACCATGGCATGGAGACGAGGAATAACTTCACTGACTCTGCTTAGGGACCATTGTTGATTGCTGCGTCTCCCTCATTTCCCTTTCCCTCTCACCCTGCATTCAGTTCATTGGCAAACTGTGTGCATTTTGTCTAAAAAATACACAATTCAAGCCAGACATGGCGGTGCATGCCAACAATCCCAGCACTCTGGGAGACTGAGGAAGGGAGGATCACAAGTCTGAGGCCAGCCTGGGCAACTTAGCAACTTCGTGAGACCTTGTCTCAGAAATGTTCTAAAGTTAGATAAGCTCTGAGTTTGATCTCCAGTCATCCCACCACCACCAGACACAGCTCAAGTCCCCATCTTGCTCCTGCTCCCTGCCCCCTCTCTGCCCTGCACACTGTCATCTCTGGGCAGGACAGTGTCAGGATCCCCCCACTGGTCTCCCTGCTTCCACTTGCTTCTCCCCAGTTTGCTCTTCACACAGAAGCGAGAAAGAGCTTTAGAACAGATTCATCAGATCATCCAGTTACTAATTTAAAAGTCTTTTATGATTTCTCCATCTTCTTAGGCTCAAACCTGAATTAACTGTGGTTTATACCCAGCCTGTCATGTGTCCCTGTCTCCTGCCATTGGCAGCTCCGTCCCTTCCTTCAGGTCTGAACCCAAACATCGCTTCTTTCCAGAAGCACCAACACAGCCATCTCTACAATGACTTTCTCGAATTGGTCTGCCGTTTTCCTATTTAATTTTTTAAGGTCCTTAATGGTGACTTGTAATTTCATTTTATTTTTAAAAAATCATTAGTTGTAGTAGTAGTTGTTATTGATTCTTTCCACAGATAATAACAGCATTTTGTGGAACTTATCTATTTTACTGGAGAAATAACTTCAATACAAGGCCCATAATACGATAGCTGCTGAATTAATATTATTGAAATGAAAGAGCAAATTATACAGAGAGAAAAACCATCCAGTTATCATGCCAGGATCAGTTGCTTAAAATTTTATAGTTGCATGTCAACGTGAAGATGAAGATTCCAGAAGCCAGAGAGTTAGAGGAAGCCCTTCAGTGATGGCAGAAATTCAGACTTATTAAGATAAGCAAAACATATGCCAAAGCCTGGCACTTGTTTTCATACTCTCTGAGACTAATTGTTTTAGCAGTTGTGCCCAGGCTGGATTAGATAAGGAAGAAGCCTGGGTCAAGGGCTTTGTGTAGAGGTTATTGCAGCAGTGAGGAAAAGATGATAAGAATTTGGATAGGGAGCTGATGGGGAAGGGAGAGATGGATTCAAGACTCCACAGTTTGGATTTTTTCATGGTGACAATGTAGCAAACAACTGAGATATAAAATACTGTGCTTCCTTTATTATATGACATTCACACTGCCAGCCAGCAAGCCATACTTTTAAAAAGTACTTCCTCAATTGAAGGGAATAGAAGGCTATCTAAACCACCAGATTTCCCTTGATAACCTACAGTACTGATACAGTGATGTCAGGGTGGGTATAGGTGAAGAAGGGGACTGAGATTAAATTTTCCCACTGGCATTGATTTATTGGGTGAAATAATATACATGAAAAATACCTAGTGCTATGAAAAGTGTTAACTTTTCATTCAGACACTGATAAATAATGCTGTTTTTTATATTTTATGAACCTAACATCATTTTTTTCTGCCAAGTTGCCAACTCAAAGAAAACTGTCTGAAAACATTTTTCTTGTGATGCTACATTTAACCTTATTTTTTTTTAAGCACTTGAACAAGATGATGAAGACAATGATAAACATGTACCTGTAACAGAAGCCGAAGGTGTTCCGGATTCTCAGGTAGGATCACTCCTGTTACTTTTCTCTGTGTTGAGAGTCGTGGATAACCCAGCTGTTTGCAAATGATACAGTATTTACCTTTTGTGTTCTATAACAAGTCATATCAGTGGGAATAAAGTGCTTAGTTTTGTTTTGGGTTTTTTTTTTTTTTTTTTGTCTTTTTTTTGAGACAGGATCTCGCTATTCAGTTCAGGCTGCCCTTGAGCTCACTTTGTAGCCCAGGCTGGTCTCAAACTTGCAATGACCCTCCTGCCTCAGCTTCCTGAGTGCTAGGATTAAGGTGTACACCACCACACCCAGCGCTAAAGTGCTTAATTTTGATATTGAGGTAAATCACAAGAAGGGCCCTAAATTGATTATCATAGGAGGCCCCCTTATCTGACGTTTTGCTTTCTGCAATTTCAGTTATCCACTGTCTGAAGATATTAAATTGAAAAGTCCAGAAACAAATAATTCATAAGTTTTAAATCTTGTGCCATTCTTTTTTTTTTTTTTTTCCCTCCGGTACCGGGAACCAAACTCACGACCTTGCGCTTGCCAGGCAGGCGCTTTTGCCGCTGAGCTAAATCCCCAGCCCCTCTTGTGCCATTCTGAAAAGCATAAAAAAGCTTGAGCTGTCTGGCCCTATCCCACCCAGGATTCCATTCATTCCTTTGCCCATGCTGTATCCATGTTGTATATGCTACCCGCCCTTTAGTCACTTAGTAATTGTCTCAGTTATCAGATCAGCTGTCAGGGTGATGCAGTGCTGTGTTTGAGTAACCCTTACATAGAAGTTACTCCTGCATCACAATGCCTGCCTCCCTTCATTTCATTACAGGCGCTGTATCTCTTCTCATCATCAGAAAAAGAGTGAATGTAGTACAATGAGAAATTTTGAGAAAGACCACATTCATAGAGCTTTTATTTTAACACATCTTTGTAATGGTTCTATTTTATTTTCAGTTACTGTTAATCTCTCACCGTGCCTATTTATAAAGTAGAGTTTATCACAGATGTGTGTACCTATGTACAAGGAAAACACAGTGTAAGGAGGATTCAGTATCATCTGTGGTCTCAGGCAGCCACTGGTGGCCTTGGGATGTGTCCCTTGGAGATAAAGAGGGACTGCTGTATAGTTTGATTCTTGGGGAAGGTAGAGTGAGAAAGAATCTACTTCCTTGAGAAAACAAGCACAGAAAGTGAAGAACTAGAAGGAGAAGCTGCCCTCAGGGCAGACCTTCCCTTAAGGCAGAGGAGAACAAGCGCTGAAAGCCCCAGCAGCCCGGGTTGGGTTGATCAGACAAGTAGTACGATGGCTCACCTGCAGGAGATTCTGTGTTCTCCCCTCGTAGCCGAATCATGGCATCGATGGGCTGTTAGTAGCAATGTAACCTCCAAATACTATTGTGGCATAAATACTTGGGACACTCTTACACAGTTGCCTCTTAACTACCTATAAAAATGGAGCATATGAAGACTCTTGACCTGGTTAACGTATTGTACTTCATTTCAGAGGTTCTAAGCCTGTTGGCTATGATCCAAATAATCACATAAACTTTCTCAGTCAAGACTGCACATGTTAGCCAGGCATGAAGTTGCCCAGCTAAGGCATGATGGCTCACACCTTAGTGGGAGGCTGAGGCAGAAGTTCCCAGCCTAGGCAACTTAGAGACTCAGCAAGATCTTGTCTCAAAACAAAATAAAACATTTTAAAAGGGTTGGAATGTAGCCCAGTGCAAAGGGCTTGGGTTAAACCCCTAGTATCACCATCATGACAAGGGTGGGGGAGGAGAGGGAGAAGATTGTAATGTTTTAATAAATACATGTTGTTTTGCTCATGTGACGCTAAAGGTGCCAGTCTATAGGCTCTCTTGAAATTACACTTTCACCTTGCTCAGAGATTCCCCAACTCAGTGTATTTGCCACTTTCTCAAAGATTTCTTAAATCATTAGCATATTAGTGGTATATTTCAAAACTTAAACTGTTATCTTTTGTTTTGAACTTTTACCGTATAAGCAAATATCTGTTTGAATGCACCTTTATTTCTCAAAAGGATCCACAAATGTTACTCTTTGGGATTTGGAGATTTTATTCAGCAACAATGATACGACTACCCACCTATAGGATGTATAAAAGGATGAAACCATGAAACTAGTCAATAATTACATCAGGAGCAGGTTTAGTGTAGGGATGGAAGTCAGGAGTCAAGGTCATGGGAGGAATTATTATTAGTGGTGAAGGCCAAGGCTGTGTAGGAAGGAAGGCAGCTCTTACCTCCTCTACTGTGTGTGAGAAAGCATGATCTGCCACTATCTAGAACTGTCCTTTTGATTCCACAGTTCCACCTATCAGAATGCCTGAGGTTCAATCAATAGTTCAGGTACATTTAAAGAAAACTTTCAGAACTTGGCCATCAGATTATTGAACAGAATGAAAAATAAATGTGTGTGCTTGTGGACATGTCCACATGTGTATAATTTACACATACAATTTATATACTTGATGTTCATGCATATAATTTATTGAACACCTATATGACAGACTCTATCATATTTCAAATCACTGCATTCTTCACTCAAATGTATTTTAAGCAACTGAAGTGACCTGCTCTCATTCCTTCTACTTGGCGCATGATAAAATATATTACTGTGGGAAGAATTGCTGCTGGGCTGTTGAAAACTTCAGGTATAAAGCGGGTTAGGATAGCCCCCAACTGCGATGGGCCTTGCTGCACACAGGTTTCCTACCTACCAGAGAACCCGAATCTTCCGTCACTGAGCGGCTTCATGCTTCCTTTTCTCCCTGATTTACACTGTGCCATCTGAACAGGGTGAGGAGAGCGTTCAGACTTGGGTTCGCATCCCTGTGTCTCTTCCCTACAGCTGGTGCCTTCCGGCAAGTCTCTTAGGGGCTGTGAGCCCACGAGTTCCCATGGGGGTAGCCACCTCTTTGTCACCATGGCATCCCCACTGTGCTAGGAACCACCTGCATGCATTGTTTTTATCTCTCTAAAATGGAGATAGGAGTTTGTCGTGAGGCTGAAATACAGGAATATGAAAAACACTGCAAAGACTGACAGTGAAGCTCATTGCTAGATAGTTGCCTAGCGAACACGAGACCCTGGGCTTGATCCACAATACCAGAAAACACGCATGCACGCACACACACGCACATGTGCACGTTCCTGACACCTATAAGGAAGTGTGACGTGAGAGGACCACGCTGCCTTGGGCAAGTAACTCTCCTGCACCCTATGTTCTTTTTCCTGTAATAACATTGAGAGTGAACACTTAGCACTTCAGACACACCGGCCTCTCTTCTGAACTTTCTGTTCCTGTACTTAAACCTCCCAACTAACCCTGCAAGCTGGGTTGCAGGGTTACCATCATTTCACAGATGAGCTGAAAGGGAGAGGTGGAGAGTCTGGGTTTCACACCGAGGCAGCCTGGCTCCTGCATGCTTGCTCTTAACCACTCAGCAAACTTCTTTTCTAAATAATGTCTATGAAATGAGGATAATTGTCGGGTGGTTGTACACAGCAAATGACTGCCTGTGAAGCCGTTAGGACACTGCCCAGTACATAGTAAGCGTGGTTACTCTCTGTCGGTTGTTGTCAGTGTCATCGTGATCGCTAACACAGCAGGGCCGGATTGCTGCTCTCGGCCCTTCCAGTGTTAGCACAAACGAAACGTTCCAGACTCTCTATTCTTTATATAGGACTAAAGGATTAAAGAATCCTTGTCAAAAAGTAGCTCAGTTTTCCCAGTTTCTAATGAGATCTTTGATAAGTAGTTTCAAACTTATCGAACTTGGAAATTCTTTCATTCAGTTGGTGATTGACCACAGGATTCAGTTATTATTTTCATAGCATCCTACTCCTCATTTGGTTTTCTTGGGGTCTGTTTGTTTTGTTTTGCTTTTTGTTTGTTTGAGATAGGGTCTCACTATATAGTGCAGGCTGCCTTGAACCCACTTATATAGCCCAGGCTGGCCTCCAACTCACAGCGATCCTCCTGCCTCAGCCTCCCAAGTGCTGGGATTACAGTTATGCGCCACCACGCCCAGCATCCTATCCCTCATTTGAATCAATCATTTTAATATTAGGTGGTGATAATGATAAATTATACCACATGATTGACAAATATTTGAAAATTTATTGCCAGCCAAAGTGTACTTCATGTGTACATGTGCGTGTTCTGTACACTAAGCTATACCCCGTACCTGCTTTAATTTTTTATTTTGAGACAGGTTTTCATTCAGTTGTCCAAGTGGACTCAAAATTGCTGTCATCCTGCCTCAGCCTCCCTGATTGTTGAACTCATAGGCATGCACTACCACGCCTGACCCAACATGTACTTTTTTTTTTTTAATCCCCAAGAAAGCTGTAATCTGAGGCTGTTATAGCAAAAGATAATCTTTCAAAATCCTTTATTTTGGAATTTACTACTTTCCTTACTCTCCATGTGCACTGTAATTCTATAAGGATAATACATTAACAAAGTGTTTGAGGAAAATAATCTCTGTATGCTCCATGGGACTGGTTTTGCCTCCTCCTGTGGTCTCAGCATGCTCGGGCAGGATGAAGCTTCTTGAGGATTGTACCAGATGGGTCTGTGAAACCAGGCTGTGGCTACCACAGTGACTCCGCAGAGGAGGGAGGCTCGCTGGGCTTCCCCCGCCTCCCTGGCCAGTGAGGGGCAAGGAGTCACTGAGTGGTGTTTAACGCTGCCTGTTGCCCGCCCGCATCTGAGGCCTGACTGCCACACTTGCTCACTGTGGTGCTTTGTAGTCCTACAAAGGGTGTAGTTTTCTGTCCTAACCACAGACAGATTTTTTCATAGTTTTCTTTTTTCCCTGAAAGAGTTTGAGAAGATAAATATTTACTGCCCTAAAATTATCTTAAAAAACAAAAAAACAAAAAACATGATGAGGACTATAAATTAGGTACTGCAAACATGTACCGAAAAAAGGAAGGGATCATGAGACAGAGGGAGGGGGAGAGAGAGAAGGGCAAGGA